AAAATATATTTTTATTGATTTCAGAGAGGGAGAGAGAGAGAGAAACATCAATGATGAGAGGGAATCATGGATTGGCTGCCTTCTGCACGCTGCACATTGGGGATTGAGCCCGCCACCCAGGGATGTGCCCTGACTGGGAATCGAACCCTGACCTCCTGGTTCATAGGTCGACGCTCAAGCACTGAGCCCTGCTAGCTAGCCAGGCCAGAGGTGACTTTCTTTCCCGGCTGGTGTTCCTAATTTTTCCGCACTGAGCCTGTCCTGTGTCAGAAATGATAAAAGCTGTACAAAATAAAAACTCAACCCCACACTGTCCAGTCACCTGGCTTCACCGCTTGTGTCCCCCCCACACCCCCCTCCCCCGTGGCTCTCCCTCCCCACTCGCTGTGCTCCTGCTGCTCTGGCCTTGGACCTCCTGCCCCTTAAAGGCTGGGGTCTGAGAAGCGCCCTGCAGGGGGCGCTCCCTTGGGAGCGGGTGTCCGGGACTGGAGAACACGAGGAGTTTGAGAAAGCACGTCCTGTGCTGTAATTTTATCCTCAGGAAATGAAACAGAACAACACACACAGAAGCCTCGCTGACACCCCGCAGGCTCGCAGATGGGGCCTTGCGAGCTCCTTTACTCGGCGATGACTTTATTTTTTCCTTCCTGGTTTCTCCCCAACGGCCGGGAAGCCCCCGAGTCAGGGAGCAGTGTCTGCCTTGTCCCCATGCCCGGCACAGAGCAGCGCCGTCACTGTCTCTGCCTCCTGGTGAATGCTTCTCCCTCCGGGCCCAGAAACACAGCCCGTGCGGGAGAGCTTCTAAGGGGAAACGAGGTTCAGTAACCCAGCCGTGCACCCAGGTAACCCCCTCTTCACCCAGTGCCTGCCTTCACCCCTTCCTCCCTGCGGCAGAGGCCACCCCTACACTGCTCCCCACAAACCGGACCTTTGTCCCTGTGAGAAGGCAAAAGGCTAATCTCAGGGGTCGATATAACCCCATCCCCAATAATGGCCCACAAGAGCCAATGATTTGATAAAGCCAGTGGGGAATGAAGCCTAGTAACCTCTATTTTATAAAAAACTGCTGTTTGAAATTTCCACTAGACAGAGGTTCTTTGTTCTGTGAATTAATTCTGCTATTATTGGCTTCTGTAAAACATGCTTGCTCTAATGATAGGGAAAATAAGCTTACCTATCTGACCTTGCAAACCGCTCCGCTGCCATCCCTAGCTACCCCCATACCAGGTGTCTTTTACTTATCTGTACTGCAGGCTGCTGAACTGTGTTGTACTCTCAAGGCTACAAGCTTCCTGCGAGATATCTGCTAAGCATACGTAGGCCTCTTTTGAAAACTTGCAAAAGGGACCGGAAGCCCCATATTTAGGAGACAAAGACATTAGAAAAGATATAAAAGAAAAGCTCCCACCAGATTGCTTTGCTCAGAATTTGAGAGACAACCTCCTCTGAGTCCGCCGGCGTAATAAAGCTGTGTAACTCCATTTCTCTAAGCGTTGCTTGGTTTTTCTCCGGTCTTCTATAACACCTAAACCCCAAGGGCTCCAGCCTGAACACTGGCTCCCTCCAAAGTGGCCCCACCTCTAAGCTCTAAGCTGGAAGCCTGTGGCCGGGCACCTGCACCAGATCCCTCACCTGGACCCCTGCAGGCATCACCCAGATGGGGCCCAGCTCCAAGGAGCTTCCTGAAGCTCAACTATTGAGCGCCGACTGTGTCCCAGGCTGCTGGGCCCCTTCCCAAGGGCCCCCCAGGGAGCCAGGACTGTCCGATGGCAGGGCACAGGTATAAAGGCCACCGTAACCAGAAGGTATCCTCAGACTGAAAGACAAAGCAGGTGACTCCAATAGAACACATCAGAATTTATTGTAGGGTGACTGACTTACCGGAAAATTGGGTCAGACACCAGCAATTCTGCACAGATTATTCTCCACTACCAGCTACCAGACCCGTTACAGTGCTGTTTGTACAGTACAACTGAAACAGGAATTTTAGGGGAATACAGGCAGGCTTAGGGAATCTTTAGAATTGGGGTCCATGGAAAAACACAGGGCTACAGATTGGAAGAAGGTACATCTCCATAACACAAGGAAGCCAGGTGCAGGGAGCAGCAACAGTTGCATTTACATAAGACAAGGGAGCCAAAAAGGTCTATATTTACAAAATGAAGGAAGAAAGCCAGAAAGAAAAGAACAATGGGGAAGGAGGGCATCACTGTCCCATGTGGTGTTTGACCTTTGAGCTCAGGAGTTACTGTAGTAACCAGTCTAAGCGAATAGTGACCTATCAGAGGGGATATCAAGGCACCAGGATCTGCAGCCTTTATAAGCCATAGGGAACAGGAACTTAGTGGGACCCTTTCCCCCTCCCCACGTGGGAGTCTGTAGTTGTTCTTCAATAAATCTCCACCTTTGTTATACCACTCTCTGTCCGTGGATTCATTCTTCGACTCTGGCGGACAAAGAATCCGGGTTCCAGTCCAAAAATTCCGTTTCACAACCAGCTAATGACTGACAAGACACAGGGATGAGGACTGCAGGAGTGCCAGGGCCACCCCTCCTGGTGGCCTTGTGACAGACAGGTGACTGCTTATAATTGACACTATTTTGGTATTGATCTCGGTTGTCATGCCATCCTGGCTGTTACTAACAATACAATTTATGGCTATATTTTAAGGAACGCAGAGGATCATCAACTAGAAGGCTTTGCTTTCCTTGCTAACGACAGTGAGCCTGGTCAGAGGTAACAGAGATGGAGTTGGTTTTGTTCATTTTTTTTTGAGTTGGTTTTGTTCACATCTACATTCGTAGGAGGGCTTGTGCAACCTGCCCCAAGCAGGGCATTAAAGGCACATGCACTGTTCAATCGTTCCATAATAATTTGACTTGCTGTCCTATTAAGGTGCATGACTTCCTCTTAAACCTCCAAACACAGGGACGGATGCTGCAGGCTATTGTGCTTTACCTCCCGAGGTCTGGACAGCCCAGGGACACCCCTTCCTCAAGGCGACACCTGGACATAGGGTTGCCCTGTTTAATTGTCATGGTCTCAGAGGCCTCCAGCCACCTGAGCAGCCCCACCTTCCACTCCCGCCCTGTTTGGGGTCTGGACTTCTGGGGCCCACAAGCTGCGGCTTTTCTGGGTTCTTGGTCACTCTTCCACCCTCGGCCTCCCCTGCTGCCTTGAGGCATGGAGCTGGGTCGGCAAGGCTGGCGATATTCACACCCAGGCCTCCAGACCCCTAATGCAGGGCCCACCAGCCATCACAAGCACTGGGCTAGGAGTCAGCAGACCTGGGTTTGGGTCTCTCCTGAATGATTGCTCTGCTTAGATTCTAAGAAGAATACAAGGAAACCACACTGCTGGTTGGCTTCCCAGAGGCCTCTGTGTCACTATAGTTCACTGTTCACATATGCCTGACATCATCCCCTCGTACCAAATATCGCCTTTACAACCTGTCTGAGATATATCCACGGTACTCACCATCCTGGTATCAGACCCGTAGAACTAGAGTGAAAGCGCTGTGTGCCCTGCTACCGGAAGCCCGGCTTTGTGGTCCTGACCGCAGGTGGTGAATAGGAAGTTGGCCCCTGAGTGTTATTTGACTCCCACAGTGAAGGAGAGAGCTCCCAGCCAAGCTCGGCCCCAACCGGACAGTCCACAGTCCGCACTTCATGAGCCGCTGGGGAAGGAGTGTGGGGGGAAGTCTCCAGGGAGTGGCCCCAACCTCAGGGACTCCCAGGGTGGGGGTGGCGGCAGCGGATTCGGCTGCTCCTTACCCCCTCCCCCCACTACCCAGAGCTGCACTCCGGTTCCGGCCACGGCCACAGGGTGTCCTGG